GGAGATTAGACGAAGAACCTTGCCACAGATGTATTTTGAGAGATGTAAGGTCTATCGTGGTACTTTTGGTAGAGTGCATCCTCTCTTCAACTCTGAGGATGATGCAGTGTTGATTATGTGGAAGCCAGGAAAATACCATCAGGTTTTCTTTATGTTTGTGTCACAACTGTCTCCTCATCATGAACAGTTTTTGGTAGATCATTGGAGTATGATAGTTTACGAAGCAGAGACGACAGGCGCCGTGAAGCGCATTGTGACTCCTGATGAAGTAGCTCTAGAGGATCCAAAGGATCAACCTCCAGACTACGGACCACAGATGGATGATGATATGGCTTATGAGCCGATTCCCGTCTCGGGGGAACAGCAGTATTTTGATACAGATGATGAAGATATGTATCCGCCTGGTGATGGACCGGGTGGCAACCCTGATGATCACCAGGGTGGACAACCTCCGGGACCACCTCCGACAGGTTCCGTAGCTGGTCCGAATCAGTTCGGAAATCCCGATGTTCCTTTGGAGCAACTCGGATATCCATCGAGCGATCCGGAAGAGGCAATGCCGGAGATTACGAGTGAATCCCGTCCGCCAGATGATCCGGGTCAACCACCGATAGGGTTTCCGAGTGATACGGATCCCGTTCATCCGTTCGTACCGTCGCCAGATTCGAACACGCCGGAGCCAGAACCATATGTTCCGGAGAATCGTGAACGTCACAGTAAGCACATGCGGAAGCTTTCTGTGGACTCAACTGATGCTTTGCCAAAGGCGAAGGTGAAGTTTCAGATAAAACGTTCTAAGGTTCAGTTACCGGGACATGACGAACCTATTCCGGCACCTCCGAAGTCAGTGCCAAGAAGTTTCTTTCCGGGACATTCGGAGAATCCGACAGCATCAAGTTCGAATCAGCCACAAGCAGCCGACATTCCTGTGCCTACGAGCACAGTCGAAGACGATGACAATGAGACGATTGACACAAATGAAACAGATTCAGAACCTATTTTTGATGAAGAAGATGTGAAAGGTTTTGAGAAGGATCCAGACAAGGATCTGGACGATGAGAAAAATCTTTTTGTTAGTTTTGACGATATGGATTTTTGTGTTATAGGTCCGAACCAAGCTCCTCCGAGTTTTAACTCGTATGATCCGAAAGGTTTTTCACAGTTCTGCCAGTATCTTGCGAAGACAATGGCTAAGAAGACGCCAAAGGCAGAGAGTGTGATTACTCCGGAAGTACTACGGAAGTATGCGAAGGAGATCAAGCAAGCTAAACTAGAGGAGTTTCGCAGCTTTTTAGACTTTACTGCGATGAAGTATCGAGACCGAAGAAAGCATAAGATCGATAACTATGTTACTGGTCGATGGGTCCTGACCATCAAGATTGACAAAGATGGTAACTTTAAGAAGTTTAAGGCCAGATGGGTCTGTCGAGGCTTCCAAGATGCCCAGAAATGGGACCTCCAAACGGACTCGCCAACCGCGACCAGGTATGGTTTTCGCGTAGCATGTCAGCATGCAGCCTCTTCTTTCTGGGACCTGTTACACATCGATTTGAAAACTGCCTTTCTTCAGGGGGAACTTTACGACCTCGAGCGACGCGTTATTCAGGTTCAACTTCCGACCGACATCGGATTGCCTCCGTATCTTGTCGGATTGTGCACCCGTTCAGTGTACGGATTGAGTGATGCGCCTCGTCGCTGGTGGAATCGACTCGACAAGTTTTTGCACTCACTCGGATTAGTTCCGACTCGAGCCGATCGGTGTACGTACGTCTGCTACTCCGGATGTTTGAAGGTTCCTAAGGCTGTGAACTACTCATCAGAGGAGATGCCAGCCGAACCGGAACCGGTATCCTTCTACGTAGCAGGTGCGCCGCCAAACGAATTCCACGACACAGCGGAGGAAGTTCGTAGGTCTTTTCTCTGTGAAGAACGTCTGTTTTCGGTGTGTTACGGAAATAGGTCGGAGAAGACGGTGACGCGTAGCCTGCTTAAGGCAGAGGATGGAAAATGGACTCCTGTGGTAGATCAGGAACTCCAGAATTTCCTTGACTCTGTAGAGCACAAGGCAGGTTGGCACCAATATGCAAATGGCCATGCTCAAGTCGCTTATCGCGCTAAAGCTCTTCGCACTCCCGAACCTACGTATTCGCGTTCGCGCTTTTGTTTTCGGACTTCAATAGTTAAGCGTAAGGGTGTTTGGTGGCTTCTCGAGACAAACAAGGATATCAGAAACGAGAAGAATGCAGTGACGTTAGAGGAAGAAGCTGAAACGCTTGTCAGTCTTTTTCTTCCTGCAGAACATACGTATACTGTGACACAAACGCCTCAGCTTACACCTGAAGTTGTGGAAGAGTTGCTTGAGCATTTTATGGACCCTGTGCATGGCAGTAATTCTAAGAATAGGTCACCCATTGGTATGTGTTGTTTACATGTTGATGATCTTTTTGTGACAGGTAATGATATCTTTTTGAAACAGTTCAAGGATATTGTGAAGTCACAGTTTAAGATTGGACATGAGGACACTAATGACCTGATGTTTACTGGACAACGTGTTGCTTGGAAGATGCAAGAGAAGACCAAGAAGAAGGAGTACATCTCAGTAGAACAATCCCTTTGTGTTCAGGAATTGACTGAGATTATCATTCCAAAAGGTTTGAAGGATGAGGAAAAGTGTGACAAAGACATGCACACAGCCTTCAGATCACTTCTTGGCAGCATAAACTGGTTACAATCCAGAACACAATTCCAAGCATGCTACCAATTCTCGAGGTCAGCATCAGCATCAGCAGGACCTACAATAGGTGATTGCAAGGCCCTGAACAAGCTGTGCAAACAAATCGTGACTGACCCTATGGAGTTACGTTTTTGGCCACTGGAAGGTAGTCCACGGTTAATTGCTATGCCAGATGCCGCATTCAGGAACAACAGTGACAAATCCTCTCAACGTGCGATGGTTATTTTTATGGGTGAGCAAAGGAAGGCAAAACAGAAGAACACTAAAGGCTCACTTATTTTCTTTGAATCTTCCAAGATCAAGAGAACAACCCTGTCCACAACTGTTGCAGAGTTGTATGCATTCATGAAGTGTTATGGCACTTGCCAAATGCTTAGAGGCTTGATCAAGGACATTACAGGCTACTCTACTGACATTCACATGCGCACTGATGCTAACAATCTTGTGACTACAGCTAGTACTACTCATGTTCCTGAGCAACAGGAGACTATTCATATGATCCAAATGCTTAGGAAGGAAGCATGCTCTGGTGCAATTGCTGACTTGTCACATATACGCACTCAGTGGTGTCTCGCTGACTGTCTTACTAAGAAGTCTGCTAGTCCACAAGCTTTGATAGATGCAGTACGCAGCGGTTGTTTAAAGGAAGTTGATGCACATCCACCTTTTAGATCTCTTATTGAACACAAGGCATATTTGCGTGGATGGCTTCCTACAGTATGCACACATGTTGACTTTTCACATGATGTGTTTTATCTTGGAGATTCTTTGCACTGAGAGTGAGAGGAGAGAATTCAATGCATGTGTTTTTGTTTGAGAGAAATTTGAATTTCTTTCATGAATTTGTGCCTGCGGCTCAAATTAGCTTGGCAAGATCAGCACTTTTCTTTCGAAGACTATTGCCTTGCATCGTTGACTACCTGTCATTTCTACAACTTAGGACACTGGCCTCTGACCGGTGTACTTTGTATCAACAGAGATGACCGGTCAGGGAGCGTCCAATATGGTCAACATCTTTGAGTATGCTCGAAACTGGTCAGAAAAGGTTCCTTGGGGACAACCTCAGAACTGGGCAAACCGTTTGAGACGCCCACGTACGCCAGTTGAGTTCCATAGGAACTCAGAGCAGGATGAATTGATCTTAACCGACATTCTTGCAATGTGTTTGGCACCTGAGAACCATACTAAGTTCAATTTTCGAGTACGGTGGTTCGCAGAGATTGCCAGATACGCTC